AACTTCAAGCATTGATATATCTCTTATAATTGCAGGACTATAGATTTTAGTGGAGTATAATTTTCCACATGTCAAATATATACTCACTCTCACAACCCCAAGAAAATCTAACAGTGAAGAATTTTTGCAAATTATAACAAGAAATATAGATATAATTACTTAGACTGTAATCTATGGAAAGGCTGCAGCTCTCCTGACCAAATCACAAAAAGTGAATAGTACGTCCAATTATCATATCTTGTGGAAAAAAAGCCTAAATACAATTCCATCATTTAAATATAGAGACTTAGCAAACTTGTAATCTTATTCCAGTCATGTCTAAGATGAGTTAGATGCACAGTCTATTTTTTAAGCCAATACTTAACTTAATGCCTACATCAAAAAATGGTCTTATTAAAATTAAAAGCTCAAAGTAATTATGTGTTCCATTTCCATATCTCACCCCCAAACATGTATATATCATAATAGAGAGGACAATGAAATATATAAAAGGCAAAAATTGATCTTTTTTTTTTTTTTTTTTTTTTTNTAACCGAACATGCTTGGTTCGGTTCACGACTTATCTTGAACGATTAATCAAAATATACTCGATTTTGATTATTCGTTATCTTATTATAATTAATCCCTTCTTAGTAATCCATTTATAAAAATAAATGGACCGGAATTAATTAATTTCTGAACTTGCTCGATTTCTAAATGGAATTTAACCGAGAATAATTTCGACTTCTAGTCGAACTTTGAACTAAATAACTTAATAACTGGGCTCGGAACTAGGAATGAGCATTATTAATAGAAATAAATTAGTTCAAACTCAGAACTAAAATAATTACTTTTATTAATTACTGAATGGGATATTACAATCTACCCCTCTTAAAACTATTTCCGTCCTCGGAAATACTGAACTGAAGATACATACGAACTGTGTACATATCATAACTTAAAATCTGAAAAATGAGCTCTAATGTTAGCTTCTCTCTCCCAAGTGACATCTAACTCTACGTGGAGATTCCATTTGTGAACAAGGAAAAATATCTTGCTTCTTGAGCCGATGAACCTTTCGGTCCAAAACCTTTCGATTCGAAGACCGGCGACCCATGACACCATCCACGACCCATATTTAATTTTCGATTTTGTAATACTGAGTTGGACGGCAATTTTGAAAAAGCAAAGAGTGCAAAACCTAATCTGTAATCTCCCGACTGCTCCCAAATCCTAAATTCCCAGTCGAAAAAACCCTAGCGGCGGCGGCGAGGCGGCTTCATTCCGGCGATACATTCAGGTAATGATGGATGAACTTTTTGGCTTTGAATATTTTGTGTTGTGCCTTTGAATTTCTTTGATGTAATTTGATTCTATTTCATGGTTGGTGGACATGTAAGCTTTAAAGTTTGTATGACTTTGTGTTTTATATGTTTAGATTCGAGCTTGTTGATGGAATTGGTAAATGGTTGTTGCCCTTATGGTAGTTTATTTACATTTTTTAATGGTTGGTAGACTTGTTGATGGATGTATATGGTTCACAAATTTTCTTTGTTGCCCAATTCAATTTGTTTTGCCGAACAGTATTCATCTATTTTGACCTTAAATTTGTCAAAAGGGAAACTGGGAAAGAGATGGAAACAAAGATTTAATTTGTCAATTAAATGAATGCAGAGTTGTGAGGTCATGAATTTTGGTGTCACTGAAGTCTTCGAAGAGGTCTATCATTGACACCGCCGACGAAGCGGGTGGGGTTTTGTACAAAAAAGTCTAGAATTTGGATGCCATTGACGATGATGAAGTCTATGAAGATGACATCCACAGTTTTGAAGACTACGAAGTTGACACCTAGGTGGTGGGTGGGTCTGGACCTTCGGCGGGGGCTGCCCTCGGTCTCGGCAGGAGTGCTTGATACGGTTGCGCCAGTCCAAGCACAACAATAAACATGTTCTTAATCTAGGTTCTGAAATGAGAAACGATTGAACATCGAGAGTATATTTTATGTATATTTTATGTATATGTGTGTCTCGATTTGTCACTGAATTGAATTCCGAGAATCTCGAGTGTATATCTTAAGTATATTTTAGGTATATGTTCCCGACAAGTAGACTTTTTTTTAGTATATGTTAATGTCAACAGTATATTTCTAGTATATGTACATGAGTACGATTTCAACTTGTTTTATATATCGTAAATTATCTGATGTTAATAGAAGATTATTGCAACATATACTGAATATATACGTTTAATATACACTATTAACATGATGCATGATGCGATGTTAAAAAATAAACAAAAAACAGTACGACAAGTAAAAATTACGTGTGTTTGGCGAACTATGTTTTCAGTATTGTGGGATTTTTGTATATCAAGAAGAAAAAGTCCTTTGTAACTATACATTGATACATTGATTAGTCGTTTGTAATTACACTACATTGAATATTTCACTGTTTATACATTGATTATAAAAAATTATACACGTACATATTAAGTATATAACGTGATTATGTTATGTATATGTGCATGAATGATATATACTTACAGTATACCGGGTTGCAACTCTATAGGTGTTTTTTTCAAGATTGTATATGTGATGTTTATATATTGTATATATTTTTCAGTCTTAGCTCATCAAAATGGTTTGATTTCGACACATGCAAAAGAAAAAAAAATTACATTAAACCAAGAAATATACTGCAAATATACATGAAAACACCAGACGTAAATAACACAAAAAGTAAACAAAAAATAGAGTTTCGGAAAAAAGTACCAGATTTATTTCGTATATTTTACGATCTTAGATCATCAAGATAAAATGATATTAATGATTAGTAAATATATATCTTTTTATNATGCTATCTTCTCGTAATAATGTCCGCAAATTAAGGAGAGTTGTCATATCTTTTGACTTTTTTTTTTATGCAATCTCCTCATCCATAACGGCTGCAATTGAAGGAGAGTTGATTTGGTAACCGATATATTGTATTATCCTAAATAAATATCATACAATTGGTAAGAAGTCAATAAAAAATTGCCCCCTCATAGTGTTGCAATTAATTGCAAATCGTTGTGTAAATATAAAATTGTCCCTTTTTATTTTTCACGCAAACAGACGCGGCCATACATTCATGCATCACAGGAAAAAGAGAGAAGCAGACGCAAGAGAAAAAGATATCGGACATAAGCGAGTAACCCGATCAAACGCAGAGGGAGGTCGCACCCGTACACGAGGGAGATAATTAATCCTCATCTTTTATCTATATTTTCTTTTTATTTATTATGATAGCTTAGATTTTATTTCTAGTTCCGGGGAAGTCGAACCCTACGATTGATTATGTTTTGATTGATTTATGGTTGAGGATTTTAATATCTTTTTGGAATTGCTTGTGTTATTTTGAATAATTCACCATGATGACATAGATCTATTGTAAAGGTGTATTTACTTTGTTACCCTTGCCCATTTCTGTTCTTAATTTGTTCGAAGTAGGGCTGCAAACGAGTCGAGCAGCTCGCGAGCCGCTCGCAAGCGCTCGAGTCAAAGCTCGACTCGAGCTCGAGTTTGATTGAACTCGAGTCGAGCTCGAGCCCATATTTTGCATTGTCGAGCGGCTCGCGAACAGCTCGAGATATATGAAATTACTAAAATATCCCTTGTGTATATATGTATTTAATGGTTATTTTATAAAATTTCTTGAAAAAATTCAAACCGAACTCGAGCCGAGCTCGAGCATTTTGAATTCGAGTCGAGCTCGAGCCGAGCTCGAGCTCTTGTATTTTTTTTATCGAGTCGAGCTCGAGCAGCTCAAAAAAATAATTCAATCCTGCTCGATAAGGGTAATGCTCGACTCGGGGCTCAACTCGTTTGCAGCCCTAGTTCGAACTATCTAAACAAACCATGAATAGATTCACGATCTAGCGAACGGAATTCACCGGCCATCTCCCCCGTCCTTTTTCACTTTGGGCCAAAGTACGTTCTAAACTTCGAATTGTTGTTCATAAGTTGCAGTTGTCTCACGATTCTTTTGGAAAGTCGTCAAAGTTACCAAAACTGGTGATTTAATTAGGCTAAGAGCATCTCCAATGCTTAAATATTAACATATTTAGCGATTTATTCACTTTTAATCCTCCAATGCACAATCTTATCACAAATGTAGTGATGAGGTGGATATAATTAATGTCTACAATGTAGAGATGAATGTGGTTCATCCACATTCCCATTCACCTTCTAGCCCACCAATGAAGAGAGGCGAGAGAAATATTATTACCATTTTTAAAATATCTAATCATTTAATTCCTTTTTTTTCATATTTATAAATTTTTTATTTGGGCCAAGTGGATAATATTGTGTTTGAATATATTGTGCATTGGAGATAATTGTTTAGAACTAAAGTTGTGAACCTAACAATTATATTATGCGTTCATTCATCTAATTGATTGATATTTGTCAAAATTTATATAATAACAACATTTATATATTGGAGATACTCTAAAGTGTTAGAACGTCAATTTTCAATCAAACGACGGGGAAAGCTTGCAACGAGAGTCCCAATAAAATAGGTATTTTGAAAATAAAAGATCAATATACAAATTGGTCATCTTTTTTAATAATAAAAAATTAAAAATGATACAAGTTATGAATAGTTTGAAGCTAACATGATTGAAATTATCACGCTCCATGCAACATAGCGGTTACCATTAATTTAACTAGCCATTTTTTTTACTTAATTATTTTAATTTTAAATATCTTTTTATTATGAAAAGTATGTATATGCTTTTTTTTTTTATCTCAACA